TGCCTTAGATAGAACCCCATTTCGATCCCAGTTTGTACGTGCCCAATCAACTCTATCTCCAAAACTACGCCCTCATATGCACAGCTGATTCACCGATAAGATTTCTACGATCGTACGAAGTGGCGATTATCATGCTCTTTCGTCCAATCTCATTTTCCACTGGAAGTCGGTCATTAGGGACGGAGTCTGGAGGCGGAGTCACTGGAAAAAGGAGGAGCCACTGAACCTATATTGCGCCACAGCGCCCCTCCCATAGAATTTTTTGCCGCGAAACCGGTACAAGGTTGTTTGTCGCGGACCACTCTAACCTCCTGACGCCATATTTTCAACTTCGATACCTGATCGCGGACTGTGCCTTTAAGTTATTCAGAGGCAAGAACTCTCTGCTGGCCGTACCATGGGTTGTGTGATCGGCTTATTCCCGACCACCTTATCTAACGGGCACTGTCCTGTTCTCGTAGTGGGGACCTCGGGCGATTATCGAAGAAAGTGTAGCTCCTCTTTTATGACTTGTCCCTGCGGTCTATTTTCGAACAGTTCGAATTAGTTCTGTCTTCAAGACGTCAATAGTGAGTGTCGAAGCCCAAAGTCGTCAACAGCCGCAGTAACCCCACCCACAAGTTGGCAGTCCCACCCAATAATCTCGTTGCGTCCACGCTCTATGTAGCAGCTCGGCATTTTGGCTCCAGAATTCTAAGATGGGATCCTCTGGCGATCTCTGTCTGCCGAAGGTTGCAGCGGCACATTACTCGGCTGAATTTGAAGTTGCAGCCTCAATTACGTAATTTGTGTTCCCACTGATCATCGAGTAGCTCGAGCGGGCGCCATTAACGTCTCCCTTCGCCCCTGCAACATGGTAGAGTTGCCCAGTGGGTCCCTCTGCCCGAGACACGATCAGTTTCATAATCTTCGTCCAGAGCTTCCACGATGAAGTTGACCATAGGTAGGCAGTCGTGCAGATGTTTTACATCCCGTGAAAGTTCCGCACTGTGTCTCTCAAATTGCCACTTCCCTTACTTCAAGAAATCAGAATCCATGTTCGGTAAAATGCTTTATCCTGCGCAAAGTGATGGCGAATCACCTAAGATTATTGTTTTAACCCAGCTTCTCGATGTAGAACCCCCCCCCGTGTGTACAATGGCGCGCGATTCGCCCTTGGAGGCCACATTCTTAGTCAGTCTTCTGTGTGCGGTATATTTGCTTTTTCATTGAAAATCATGATCCATTCTGGACAGTATCAGGAGCCAACGAGAAGCTTTGCAAGTTATGGTAAGGAACCAAAAAAGCGCCCTTGTCAGTAACCAGTGGCGCCCGCATTACCAAGCGCGCAGTCCCGGCAGCTCAATTCCGAATAGCTCCAGCCAGAGGCAACAGAAGCCTACCATCCGGGGCTACGTGACATCTTAAAACTTTTGTAGTCCTGTCACAACCCTGTGACGCAGATGGATAGAAGGCCAGGCTGCCAAAAACATGCGAAACGTGCAGAAACGTATGCAGCCAGAAACGGATTTCCAAGGGGGTGGACTCCAAGTGGGTGGCCTACTCAAGCTGGAGTGAGCGAAGTCACAACGGCCATAGAGTGCCATGCGGACGAGAGAGTGCAGAGAAAAAGAGAGAGATCGACGCGTTCAAAGGGACTGAGTTCAAGTTGTCCGTAGACCCAGGGGACGTAACCAGATTCTGGAAATTGTACCATATTCACAAGAGATAAGCAACACTGACTCGTACCAACGGCTGGCCTCTGCAAGTCATTGTGTAAGTTCTAAGTTCATGGGCAGTCCGTGACGACTGAAATTCTGAAACCTGCTCAGGGAATTGTCTGTTTATGCTGCGTCGTAATGACGCAAAACTTTATTCGAATGTGCTTACCTCTGCTACGACCTTGGAATTTCATACATTTTCCACCAAAACATTGCATTTCTTGTTCTGGAATTGAGTTGTTTTTATAAGTATGTGCGCTCAAAACAATTCACCTGCAACCCCTTATCCTCCCCGAACCGGTTTTCTCTCAAAGGCTTATAGTTTTCCATAGCACAAGCTGACGTTCTCCATGCCATGTTCTTGTTGTTCCAAAGGCAGCACTACGAAGCATATTCCCTCTTTCCGTCCCCCACCTCGGAACCACGTCCCTTCTTCTTCTCCCTAGCCGTCGCAGGGTCCGCTGTTCTTGTTAGACTTCACCACGTGTTCCGATCCACTGTATCTTCTGCCGTGGCGTTTACTTCATTTAGGTCCCGCTTGATGAAGTCCATCACTTCTTTGAGACTCCTCCTGGTGGATAACCGTAACCGCTGCCCTAGTTGTAATTAAAACGCTCAGCAAGAAGTTTCGAAAGGCATCTCTTTGTGAAGATCTCTTTCAGAGCCGTAAAACCTTCACTGCGTAAGAACGTTTACAGCAAGAAATTCGCATTTCGAAAAATTCGCCAATTCGAAAATTACAAATCTGTAAAACATATAGTTGATTTCCGGGAAGTTACCACTCATTCTACTCCCGTTCAGAATCGTAGTACCTTTTTGGATGTGATGTGGCTTATACAATGCCTAGAGGGACCAGCTGTTAAACACTCCGCGTACAGGTTAGCGAAATGAAAATATGCCCGCAGAGAGTAGTGTGCGTCCGCGACCAAAGACCTTGACATACTGCCGGCTCCGTGCGAAAAAATTGTGAGGGAGGGCGCTATAGCGCAATATAGGTTCAGTGGCGCCTCCTTTCTTCCAGTGACTCCGCCTTTAGACTCTGTCCTTCTGGGCCCGACTTTCAGTGAATAACGGGGCTGCAGGACGAAAAAGCATGACAATCGTCACCTGTACAGTCGTAGATCTTTATCGCTTGATCAGCGTGCGGGATGAAGGTGTAATGTTGGAGATGGATTGGTTGGGCAAGTACAAACTGGGATTGGAATGGGGTTCTATCTAGGGCAATTATGTTTTTTTATGTTTTTTGCTTCACTCATTGAGTTACTCAGAACCTTGCCGTCCTACATGCCGCAAGCCTCGTCAACTATTTTGAATTGGCGGATGGCTCGCAGTTATTGGCTTTAGACAAGATCAGTGTTCTCATCGCCACACATTAACTTCCTATCCTCCAGATAATTTCCGTTACGATTTGCTTTTGTCAACGGAGCAGCAGAAGCGTCGCTGGCCATAGCGGGAGCCAATCCGGGATTTGCCCTTGGACCGGTGCGCGGTAAACGTGCACCTCATGAACGCACAATCTTTCCAGTTGCTTACCCTTTTTCAGTTGCGTCTGGTATCACAACATCCAAGTTATCGCAGATGACTAAATATCACTCGGAACTAGATCGTCTCGTGCTTATTATACGCTCATAATTTGTTAAGGTTCTTATTAATATTATTATTATTCGATGAAGATGAATTTCGAGAAGGTAAATATTGAGCAGCTCAGTTTTCGTTTCGTTCGCTCCTTTGAAATCGGCAACTAAATTTTTTTGGACAAAACTCTGTCATCTCTCATCAAATGCCAGACCGATCCCATGAACCAGGCCCAGTCGGAAAAGAACGCTTTTGCCGTGGAACTTTTTTAACCAATAAAATTCGAAACGAAAGGTGAACTTCAGGAATGACCTGACATTTATGTTTAGACTAGATCGTGTAGATATAGACCGCGGGCTACGAGCACCGAGCACCACTTAGAACGAGGAGAAGTTCTCGTCTCTCAAGTTTCACCCGAGCAGAAACCATAAAAAACCAGGTCGAAAAGAAGTTTGACGTGAAGACTTTCAATCTTTGAGATTCCTGGTGTCATATACTCTGTTGTCTACTCTGAAACTATTTTAACCAGTTCTTGCTTCCAGAACAGAACAAGAATGTGGAGCTCGGAGATCGTTTAGCCAGAGCTGCAAAGAAGTGTCAAAGGCATAAGTACTGCATGCACAACTTGCGCTCCGCGTAAATCAGGCCAACCCCTGAAGTCGCTTATTTGATAGTGAAATTGTTTTAAGCGTAGAACCCTTGAGAAAGAACTAGAATTGGGGCACCATAGCGACGAGGAACTTTTTCCAGTACTGCTCTCTCCCAATGCCCTTCGAGCGTGTGTCGGTAAGATGAGCTCCCCATTCAACCCAAGGAAGAAAGAAAATCCTGCCGCCAGGGGGAAAGGGGTATATAGGGTGCCCAAAACGGAAAGGATCAACAAAGAGCACAACTTTCGGTCTAAAAGTGCACCCTGTCCTTGCAATTATGGTACGACCGCCAGCTCTAATTGAGGAATTGAGGAATCTTCAATGTACTGACAAGGACACATAATGACGTTGTGTTAAGTTTTTGTCAGCTACAATCCATAGGGTTTGACTGACCGTTACGTATTCAGAATGTAACAGTCAAAAGTATACCTCGTCCCGGATGGCATTCGAGTACTGGACCTGCTTAGATGATGGCAGAATCTGGACCAACATCAATAAATTTTTGACAGCCCTTTCCAAACTTGATATGCGAAACCAGTTATCTTTCAAAAATTATCCAGTTGTCACAAAGGCTCAGTCTAGTCAACGTTTTATGCAAGTCTATCAATTATTTTGTCTACTCTTTTATCTACTGAACTCGGCATTCAATTGAAATGTCGAACAGATCCGGTTAGGTAGTTATTTCATGGAGAAGTTTGAAAAGAAAATGAAAGTGAATTATCCAGGGCAAACCATTAACAACCCGCGTACTCGACAATTCCAGTCTGGGTAACATTATGCAGGTTCCCGGGTTTTTGTCCGTGAACTATGCAAGTTCGGGGCCATCTGAACGACGTTTGATTGCTAAGTGCGTTGAAGTTTTTATTCCGGCGTTCGTCAACTAATTCATCACGGTGCCAGCGATTCCGCAACAATGCTGCGCCACTGATTCACGCTTTCACTTCGTTCTACAGGATTTTTCATTGAATTTTACGTTTTGCCCGCCTCTACTCGATTTCTCGTGCGATAGCTACGAAACCTCATCCCTTCCTCTCGACTCACTTCCGACTATTGGGAAATTTTCCTTTTTCCTGCGTTAGAATTGATCTGAAAAAACCGAATATTATTATGTTACTATGTTATTAGAGATTATTATTATTTTACTATATTATTACTATATTACTATATTATCATTAGACTATTATTATATTACTATACTATATTATTATTATTATTATATTACTACACTGCTCCACATAATGATAGTTCCACCCAAGAACCTCACGAAATCCCGTCTTACGCGACGTTTTCAAAGATGCTGTAAAATAAAAAATGCGAATTCCAATTGCCCGTTCGTACGCCAAACACCAAATACCAAATGGAAGGAACATTTTTTTCTCTTCATCTTTTTTGAAAAATGGTCACTTTGACAACGACGCAAAATCATAGTTCCACTAAACAAATCGAATGATATAACACAGTTGACAACATGAATAAATTGTTTAAATCAGTAATCTATAGCAGCCCCATTTCTTCGAATAAGTTGGAAAATTCGGTTGCCCATGCTCGAATAGAGGTTGTCAATAAGTCGTCTGTCCACTTGGTGCCATGCATCAACTATTGCCTCCTTGAGCTCACGGATATTTTGGAACCGTGCATTGTTCGCATAGATTTTGCGCACCATAAAACCCCACACATTCTCGACTGGGTTCAGGTCGGGGCTGTTCGCTGGCCAGGGCAAAAGAGCGATTTGGTGGCGCCTGAACCACTCTCGAGTCCTTCGGCTGACATGAACCGGTGCATTGTCTTGCATGAAAACAGGGTTTTCTTGCCGATTCCTATGCCAGAATGGAAGCAATCCTCGTCGCATGACGTTAATATAATCAGAAGAGTTCATTTTCTTAGATACGAAGCATAGCTTCACACGTCCCGTTGATGCGATGGCAGCCCAAACCATGACGCCACCTCCTCTGAAGTTCCGCGTGGAAAAAATTAAGCTGGTCCTTCCTCAGGTCGTGCCAGTAGGATCGGTTTCCATCTGGACCCGTCGCAGTTGAACTTTTTCTCATCAGAGAACACGACCTAGAAAAAAAACCTGAAAAAACAAGACAGACAAGCAGAAGAGCAGCGCAGCTGGAAGCTAACCTTACTCCAATCGGCTCGGCAACATCTAGCAAAGTCAATTCGGTTCTCACGATGCCTTTTTGTCAGGAACGGCGCCTTCCTCATTTTCCTTCTGAGAATGTACCCCGACTTCGTTAGGACACGGCGAACAGTTTCCGACATTAAGCTTCAGAGCATGCACCTTGATTTCCTTGGCACGAACATCTTGTGGTGTTAGATGCTTCACTGGAGGATACGGCCTTATTCCCGATCTGAGAGCAAGAGAGGACGACCAGGGCTCTTCTTGATTCCATATCCTTCTGGTTCCCTGACAAAATTGTTGATTACATGATGACTTCGTCCCAAATCCCGTGCGATTTGACGGTTCGACAGTCCTTGTGCCTTCTTTGCCATAATCTGCCCTTTCTCGAAGTCCGACAGTGAATGTCCTCTCGCCATGATCTAGAAAAGGTGAAACGTAACGGTGATGAGACAGCTTTACCCGAAAAAAATGAGACGCAGTGGAAAAACATGAGGTGGAACTATCATTTTGTGGAATTGTCAGAGTGTCAATTTTCAAAAAAATGAACAAAAAAACCTTGTTCTTTCAAGTCAGTTCCCGGTGTTGGCATGCAAAGTGGTATTGATTATTACCTAATTTTCTACTTGAGGACATTTTTGAAAACCTCATGTAAGACGGGATTTTGTAATATTTATGGGTGGAACTATCATTATGTGGAGCAGTGTATATTACTATATTACTTGCCCGGAAAGCAGAAAAACCCCTCTGTAGACTTCTTCTTGGTTTCGAGGTTCTCCATTTGCAAAGTAGGCTTGACCTACACTCCCTTGCATTCCTCTTTCTTTTTCCCGGACACTCTCTCGGTTGCTCAAATTTCCCCTCTTCTGAAGTCCTAAAGATTGTTTCCTTGTCATGTGCATTTTTCATTTCCTTTGAACCTGAAGGTAACTTTTTGGCTGATTTTTATGTTTTTTTATATGGACCCTGAAAACACCAGTTTTTAATAAAGCCACTACAGAGAGCGAATCCAGTAATAAACTCTCTCCTGCTGCAAAATCCTATAAATCCATCGCTATTATCGCTACTTGGACCGACACCAGTGAATGTGCTCAAATAATTGCAGTAACCGGAATTTTTGCTACATCACTCTGGCTGGATTCGAATTTCACGTCAGGCCTTGCCACTCTTGGGGTCTCCAGCCGAACCTTTTCCTCGTTGAGCCTTTTCCTTTGTCTTGACCCAAAAATTTGCCAGAAGGAAAGTCTTCGCGAAATATAAATCCGAAAGTTCAACTTTTGCTTGTATCTGGGACAAAGTATGCACTCAGCTCCCTGGATCCTGGTCCCTGTAATGTATGGGGTGATTGAGTCTACGTGGAGACGGGCAAGATGATCGTAATTTGCCGCTCCGCCGCGCGCGGCGATGGGCGCGGCGTTTTCTTAACTCGTGTTAACCTGTCGATTGGAGCACCGGACTTCATGTAGACCCCGTCATCGTAGACATTCATGACTATTTTCGGTTCTGAATTGCCTGTTGTCGCCATCTACTACCTGGAACCATTGTCATTTGCAGGAACGACGTCGCATGCGACGCCGAGTTAGGACTCTCTTGTCGCACACCCTGAGTCTACGCACGACCAGTCACTCATTACCTAACCATGGCCGAGCGCTTTACTTATCTGCGCCCTCTCACTCCTGCTTGTTCTACCGTTAAGTGCGCGTTTCGCTGCGGGACCTCCCCCTTCCCCATCGCACCTACCACTTTCCCAGATTTCCCCAACTTTCTTCCAGTTTTTCCGGAAATTCTTAAAAATTTCCTGGTTTTTCCTCAGAATTTTGCTGTAAAGCGGAGGGGGAGGGGGAGGCTCGGCAACCAGTTACTGGTTTCAACTATCAGAAATAGTAGTTGTGTGGAACTTTGGCGGCCCCACGAAGCCATCCAACCGAGCTGGGATGGGGAGTCAACCGTCAAAAAAATTTCTCAGGCCAAATACGACCTCCTCCGCCCAGGGACCAAATACGACTCTCTTCGATAGGGATGCTCGACGACGACGTGGTCTGATGCTACTACAGCCAAGCCACGGAGAGAAATTTGGCAAAATGCGACCTCTCTTCCCTCCAGCGACCAAGTACTACTCTCTTCGCTAGTAATGCCCAACCCGACGTGCCTTGACTGCAAGCTACGAACCCCTTCACCTCGCATATGGCAACACGTGCACTCGGTCTGAGAACTGGGAAGCACTTCTGCAGCAACCGCTTACCGGAAGCTCATACCATGCCAGCATCACAAGGAAACCCCCTTTCCCTGCATTGCTTTGAGTGATACTCCCTAGTCCCATCAAGCTTTCGATCCGTCAAGGGTTCGTAAGTTGGTTGAAAAAATTGCAAAATTAATTGATTGCAAAATCGATGGCAGGATGAGAACCAAACTGTTCATCAAGTGGACCACCAAGTCATCCTACAAGCCTTATCGCATTGAGAACGTCACCTCAAGTCTGAACGGAAATAAAAGGCACCCCAATAGAAATTATTAATGCTGCTTAGCTCAGGGTCTCTCTCAACTCAGGATTTCACTCAGAAATCACCCTTCCTGCATTTTTATCAATATATGTCCTACCAACATCGCAGCGGGGGTTCAAAAAACTCTAGAACATCAGAAACTTTCAAAAGCTCCCCTGAAGCCTCCGGCTGCATAAAGGCGCGGTCCGCGATCTAGAAGTTGAAAATATTGTGTCGGTGGGTAGTGTGGTCTGGGAAGAACAACCTTGCGCCGGTTTTGTGGCAAAAAAAACTATAAGGGAGGGGCGCTATA